CCTGCTGCTCCTGCTGCTGCTGCTGCTGCTGCTGCTGCTGCTGCTGCTGCTGACAGCAGCAAGTACAAGCCTCGCCATGCCGCTGCTGTCTCCTCTTAGTGCGCTGAGCACTTGTGGGGTCGACTGCAGCAGCAGCTGCCGCACCTTTGCTTCTTCTGCTGCTTTGCACACAACTATCGCGCGTCCCCCCCGCTTCTGCTGCTGCTGCTGCTGCTGCTGCTGCTGCTGCTGTTGCTGCTGCTGCTGCTGCTTTTGGGGCTTGTCTTGCATGCGCCCAGCACGCCCCGCCATCTGCCGGAAATGAACGGCATCGAGAAAGCTGCTGCCGATGTGTGGGGAGTCGAATAACACTGAGCTGCGTATACACCCCAAACACACACACACAGAGAGAAACAAATGCTGCTGCTGCTGCTGCTGCTGCTGCAGCAGCAGAAGGAACGGCAGCAGCAATAGCAATATACAATATAAATATCAGCAGTAGGAACGGCAGCAACTGCAGCAGCAAAAGCAACCGCAGAAGCAGCAGCAATCGCAGCAACTGCAGCAGCACAACAACAACCACCACCATCACCACCACCGCCAGCAGCAGCAACAGCAGCAGCAGCAGCAGCAGCAACAGCAGCAGGCCCGCAGCCCAACAACCACCACCACCACCGCCAGCAGCAACACAGCAGCAGCAGCAACAGCAGCAACAGCAGCAGCAGACTCGCAGGGGAAGTTGACTCCAGCAGCAAGAGTAGAAGTAGCAACCATAACCCTAGCAGCAGCATCCCTAAACAAAGCCTCAGCTAGCCGCCGCTCTTCTGCTGCAAGCCCTGCGTGGTGTATAGACACCCCAGCAGCAGCAGCAGCAGCAACTGCTGCTTTTATAAAACCCCCCTGCAGCACTGCTGTATGCTCAACACGACGCATGCGATTTGCTGCTGCTGCTGCTGATAGAAAGGAAAAACGCTCCTGCTGCTGCTGCTGCTGCTGCTGTTGCTGTTGCTGCTGCTGCTGCTGTTGTTGCTGCTGGTGCGCGAGCTGCTGCTGCAGCAGAGGAATGACATAGTCTGCAGCAAGCAGAGCAACAACTTCTGCTGCTGCTTGACTCCTACAGAATATGAGGACGCTGTCTCCCTGCTGCAGCAGCAGCAGCAGCAGCCGCAGCAGCGGCTCCCGAGCGATCGCAGTTGTTATAGAGGGGCGAACTAACTTTCTGTCTCTTACCCTGTCTTGCTGCTGCTGCTGCTGCTGCTGTTGCTGCTGCTGCTGCTGCTGCTGCTGGTACAGCTTGTGCAGCAGCG